AGGAGGTAACACTTGGGCTCAAAGAACAAAAGGGATCTGGTTATGTTTAGATCAGGAGTAAAGAGTCCCAAGCACAGAAAAGCAAGTACAAAGGCTCTGAGATATGAATCAGCTGGGTTTGTTTAAAAAAAAAAAAAAGAAGGCAGGTGTGGCTGGCACATAGTGAACAAGGGGATGAGAGGAGGAGAAGAGGTCAAAGAAGGAGGTCAAGGCTAGATAGAGCACACAGGCTCCACTAAGTTTGGACTCTACTCTAACAGCATAGAAAACCACTGGAGGATTTTTGAGTATAAAGTAACAGAATCTAATTTACATTTAAAAAATTACATTGATTGTTAAGTGGTAAAGAAATTGCAGGTGGACATGAACTTCCTTCCATACGCAGATACACAGACAGGCTGGGAGACCAGGCAATAGAGGGGCCGGGCGTCATGGTGGCAGTGAAAATGGACAGAAATAAACAGACAGGTGATAAATTTTAAAGACATGGCTGGCAGGGCTTGCTATTGAACACAGGAAGTAGGGTGTGGGAAAGAGGAATCAAAGATATCTCCTGGGGATTTCACTGAGCAAATTTGCTAAAATTGGGAAAGAGTGTGAAATATCTACTATTTTGGACTAAGAAAGTTTCAGATGCCTATTAGATATCCAACTGGAAAAGTAGCACACAGCAGGCACTTGCTTTATACTTTGAAAAACTACCACTTTGAGGATAGATTCATCTACAAATCAAACATAATACAGCAGTCCAAATTTGCCTAACTGTATTTGCTGCTTCCAAGGTAATAGAGAAAAACAGAAAACAGTAAGTGACTAAAATGACCAGAGATCTCAGTTCATTTGATGAAGTGTTATTTTTGCTTCCTCTGATGCTTCTTGACCCAGATTTTTAATACAAAGGTCCCACGTTTTATGTCAGAAATTTTAGACAAATGCTGTCAATGCAATTCAAGTATTTGCTCCACTTCTTTAGGCCTTATAAACATTGCAGTGATTAGTGTCAAGAGCAGTAAGCAATGACTCATCAAATCACTTTTACTCAAAGATAGTGAGTGAAAGGCTATATACATAAGACTACTGGAAGCTAAATGTGCTGCTTTGGGCAATGATACACATTTTAATCCATTCTATCTTTTTTAAAATGAAAATTTATTGAGATACGATTTACATACAGTAAAGCTTACCCTTTTTTGGTGTACAGGTCTGAGTTTTAACAAATACAATCAACTAACCACCATCCCTACAATCAAGATACAGGACAGTTTTCACCCCAAAAATGTTCCTTTAAGTCCTTTTGTAGTTAGTCCCAGATGCTGGCAACTACTGCTCTGTTTTTGGTCCCATTATCTTCAAACTCAACAATAGTCTTATGAACTTATGACGGCTGTTCACAGATGCGTGGCAAAATCCTATTTCTTAAAAAATATGACCTGTGAAATATTAGAAGCACCTAAAAAGTATTTGATGATCTTATAAAAAAAGAAACCATCCTTTCAAATTATTGGTGGAGATTAGGCTGAGGTCTCCCAAAACAGTCAATTAAGGCATGAAACAGTCCATATCCTCACAATGGTTTAATATGTACATATTTCTCTAACAGGAAACTGGTAAATATGAATTTTAATTTCCCAAGTCAATCTCATTTGTAGAATTCTGTAATAATACTTCTTTAATAGTATTATTTCCCATTTCTAGTACCACTTTGTTTTAAAGATATTCTGACAAATATACATGACACATGCTATTATTCATTTATATCAGTGTTAAACCTCTATGAAAGCAGGTACTTGGGAGTTTTGGGGATTTATTTTCATTTTATACTACTACTTAGGGGGAGTGATATTTCATGTAACTTATTTTAAAAAGTAATGTATCAGGTGCCTGGGAGGCTCAGCGGTTGAGTGTCTGCCTTTGGATCAGGTCGTGATCCCGGGGTCCTAGAATCGAGTCCCACATTGGGCTCCCTGCATGGAGTCTGCTTCTCCCTCTGCTTGTCTCTGCCTCTCTCTCTCCGTATCTCTCATGAATGAATAAATAAAATCTTTAAATAAAAGAAAATAATGTATCAATTGATTCTTAATTGGTACGAATGAATGAATATAGCGTCCATGGTGTGAGCCAGAAGCAAAGTGGCACACAGTTCAGTGGTTAATGCCTTGAGCTTTGGAATCAGCAAGGCCTGGCTTATTTTATTTCAATTTATTTATTTATTTATTCATTTATTTATTTTTTATTCTTAGCTCCATTATTTCCTGGCTTGTTTATTTGTTTGTTTATTCCTAGCTCCATTATTTTTTGGTTGTGCAAACTCTGGGCAAGTAACCTCCCACCTCAGTGCCTCAGTTTCCTCACCCAGTAAATGTGAATCACAGCACTACCTATCTCATACAGCAGGGATGCAAGCACTCATACTCGTACTACATCTGGCACATCTAAGTGCTCAATGAACAGTACCCAATATACACTAGATGGAATTTCCACTTGAAAAACATTAAAATGTTCTATTATTCAGCACTCATTCTGGAACAAAAAGGAAAGTGCCTGTGTTTGTATTTTATTGATGGCAAAATGATGTAGAGACACAGCTGAGTGTGCAGCAGACTCAGGTGCACACAGTTTAATGCAGAGCAGAAAGGCACCTGGCCGTTCAGCTAACTCCAGTGATTTAAGGTCTGATGCTGCTATCTCTCTCAAGAGTGGGTTTTTCTTTCACTTTTTCCCCCCCTAAACAAGTAAAGAAGGAATAATGCTTTGTGATGGAAGTCATAAGAAAGCCAAGGAAGAATACAAGAAAGATCTGCATGTTATAGTAAAAAAGGTCTCTTAACTATTAACTTTTCTCTGTAAAGTGAAGGGGATTTCATTAAGTGCCAATTGATTTTGTGAAGCCAACTGTATCAGAGCAGCTGACTGGAAAATGCTCAGGTTTGAAATAATTTCTTTTAACTAACTCAGTTCCAAATGGAAATTGAGTATTTAATATCCCCCTACCCCTTTTCACTCTTACTCCTTTAGAAACATCATAATAGTTTTTTCCCCCTTTCACTTTTTATGAGCAAATTTATAGCACTCATAAAATTTTAGACTAAAGTTAGAAGGAAACTGAGAAGATATCTAGTACAATCCTTTAGTTTTAAGGTAAAGAATGAGGCCCAGAAGAGAACTGACTAAAATGAAATAAAAGCCAACGTGGGCCTGGGACCAAGTGTCCTAAAGCCCCACCGGTTACTCTTTCCACTACAAGGGTATCAAATACTTTGGTCAGGCAGTCACCAGAGCTCATCTGTCTGCAACACACATCATCCACCTCTGTCACTACTTCCTTCTGAGCCTTAACCCTTTAGAGTCCTAAACCACACTCAAGCTAGCTGTTGCCTGTCATGGTGGTCAGGCCTCTAGTGATGCAGTAAATATAAATCCCAAATTTCCTGCCTAAAATGTCAAGACCTTTTTTCTCTTTTCCACTGTCTTTTGAATTTTAGAAATAAATTTTTCTGGGCAATAATGATCTTTTAGGGAAATATCTAAATTCTACACACTAAAAATGTGGTGGGAGCTTATGAAATAAACTTTTTTGTCAAAAATTTAAAAATAAATATAAGTAAAATTAATCTGTGGTGACAGAAATCAGAAAGCGGCTGCTCAGGGATAGAGGCTGACTGGCAAGAAGCAGGAGAAAACTTTATAGAGTGATAGAATTGTTCTATCTTGACAGGAATATGGTCAAACTATCAAACACTTGAGATCTGTGTATCTCTTGGGGCGCCTGGTTGGCTCAATTGGGACAGCATGTGACTCTTGATCTCAGAGTTCAAGCCCCACATTGGATAGAGATAACTTAAATAAAACTCAGGAAAAAAAGATTTGTGCATCTCACTGTTTGTAAATTGTATCTTTTAAAAACAATCTAAACTACTCATGTAGAATAATTCAGATTCTAAAATTCTCATCTAAAGAAGGGATGTGAAGTGCAATCCAGCTGATGAAAGGCAATGACCAAACTCAGAGATCTTTCAAAATCAAGCAACACATTTCTGTTCAACTACTCATAAGAACACCATCTGCTGTGCCAGAACTCGTGTACGTGAAGAACAAGTAAAGAGTTTCCTTTCAGGCTATGCCAATTAATGGATTCTGCCTTAAAATAGGAATGAAAGTATTATTTAAGAACTGTGTACACTACTATGATAACATATCCATTGCTCTCCATTGTCTACGAAAATACATTTAGAGGGGATCCCGGGGTGGCTCAGCGGTTTAGCGCCGCCTTCAGGCCAAGGTGTGATCCTGGAATCCCTGGATCGGGATCAAGTCCCACCTTGGGCTCCCTGCAGGGAGCCTGCTTTTCCCTCTGCCTGTGTCTCTGCCTCTCTGTGTGTGTGTGTGTCTCTATGAATAATAAATAAATAAACCTTTAAAAATAAAATACATTTAGAATTGAATAACAGAACTTCATCCTGAAGACCATAGAGAACTTAAGATGATAAGGAAGGTAAGGTTGAACACAGTGTAATAATTATGTTTTTATAAAAATTCTGTTTTCTGTATTACTTTCCTATAAAAACTTGGATGTGTAGGACATTCATCCCAGTGCATACCATAACCTGGTAAGACAATCTTGACAAAAACAAAAAGTACTGAAAAGGAATAAAAAGTTGGCTCTCTTCTGGCTGATAAATGCATAATGTTGGCCTGGGAACCATAGGTGAAGAGGAAGACAAACTGGTTAAAGACACTGTCGTGTTAGGGCTTATCACCACAAGAGAAGGGGGAGGGAAGAGGGCAAATTTAGACTTCAAGTTATAGCTAGAAAGGGAAGATAAATATCTTACCTCGTTCAGCAGAGTGCATTCATGTGATCAATTTTTAACATAAAAGGTCTACTGTAAAATCTGGCACCCTGATAAAAAGTAGCTTTTGAAGAAAACACTATGTCCTATTACTAATAAAGGATCGACAGGAGTGTGACTTTCCATCTCCTTAGTGATGGTAATACATACCAAATCTGGCTTCACTCTGTGAGTCAGGGGAAAGGAGAGCCACATGGAGTACAAGGTGGTGACCACTGTGGAGAGCCAGGACTGCCGAACCTCACGGCTTCTGGGAATGCGGTGAATATAGTACTCAGGAAACTAGAAGGAAATAGTAAAAATACAAATCAACCAGGCCACTGATACCCAAGATAAACACAGTAACAGTTAACACTTGTACACATAGGAAATGCTTTATTTAAAATTTTCATTCTAACTACTTTCAAATTAAGTTATAAAGCCTCTTTTATACTTGATATAACACATATTATTGGGTTAGGACAAAAAAGCTCCTAAATATGATTCTAAAATGTTAAAGTTGGTTTTGATGATAAGTTGGGGTAAATTTTCTAGAAAATATGTTTTAGGTAGAGAGGTTAACATGCTGACTGACAAACTGTCCTTACAAACCAATACATAAGACAAATAATCTAGTATCAAGATTAGCAAAGGAGATGGACAATCCCAAACAGAAGAATAACTAGATGTGAAAAGATAGTAATCAAACACAAAAGAAGGCAATATATCATTTTTCACTTGCCTGATTGTCAAAGGTTGTGGATACCCAATGTTGTTGAGGGTGTTGGGAAATAGACATTTACATTCCTTGGTACAACTTTGGGATACAGCTTTTGGGGAGGGCAATCTGAAAATATCTATCAGAATTTTAAGTGTGTCTACTTTTTTTTTTAAAGATTTTATTTATTTATTCATGAGAGACACAGAGAGAGCGAGAGGCAGAGACACAGGCAGAGGGAGAAGCAGGCTCCATGCAGGGAGCCTGATGCAGGACTCGATCCCAGGACTCCAGAATCATGCCCTGGGCCCAAGGCAGGCACTAAACTGCTGAGCCACCCAGGCATCCCCTAGTGTGTCTACTTTTGATCCACATTTCTGTTTCCAGAAATATATCCCACAGATTTATCTACATACTTATCCACTGTATGATGCTTTGTATTTGTAGGAACTGGAAACAGCCCAAATATCCTCTAGTAAGAAATGGATAAGACCACACAACAAAATATACGAAGATATACTAACAAATGACATAGATTTATATGAACTTAAATGGAAGATGTACCATGGTAAGTTGTTAAAGAGAATCTACAAGTTGCAGGACAGTATATTTAATATGATCTAGTCTGTATTAACAAATCACAACACATGTATGTTTGTATATACACATGTATACATATTAGTATCTACTTGGAGAAAATCTGGAACTATTCATCATAAATTGCAAAGAGGGTGAAATAACTGGATATTTTTATTTTCTAGGTCACATATATCTATGTTTGAAATTTGCAACAAGCACATATTATTACTTTCACAATAAGAGAAACCAACATTTCTTCACTGAATCAAAGTTCCTGGTATATTTGTTATCTTTTGCTGTAGAACAGATTACCCTCAAACCTGGCAGCTTGAAACGACAAATATTTTTTTGTTTATCAAGTTTCTGGGGATCAGGAATCCACGAGTAGGCTAGCAGGTTTGTTATGACTACAGTCCCTTTCAAAACTGAAGTCAAGTTTTTGGTTGGTGCTGGTTGGTGCTGGTTCATCTGGAGGTTTGAGTGGGGCTGGAGGATCCAATTCAAGGTGGCTCACTCACATGACTGGCAATTTAGTGCGAGTTTGTGGCAGAAGATCTTACTGCTTTGCTACATGGACTTTTCCATCGAGTTACTAGAGTATTCTCATTACATAGCAGCTAGTTTCCTTCCCCAAAGCAAGTGATCCAAGATAGGGAAAGGCAGAAACCATAATGTCTTGTATAACCTAACATCAGAAGCCACACTTTGTCACTTGTACAAAGTCCTACTGGTTACAAAGATAAATCATATTTATTATGGAAGGAACTACACAAGGGCTTGAATCACTGGGGGTTTCTTGGAGTTTGGCTACCACATAGGTTAAGTTGGACAGTAAAGGGCTAAATATTAATACACTCTTCTCATCCCCCTTATTGGTCTTGGAAGTACAATATACTTCTTGAGAAAAGAATAGAAAAGCCTTTTGCTAAACTAATGGAAGACCCATAATTACTGGTCCTAAGATTATGCATTTAGAAAAAGGTATGAAATTGTTTCTGGAGGCCTCTTTGAGGCTCCAGGAGGGCATGAGCATAGTTCTTACACACTCAACACAGAATGAATATGGACTGCATGTGTGACTACTGTGTCTCACATGTAACTGTAAAGGACTCTTTCCTCTTCCTTCCATGTTACACAAGTGGAGAAGGAGAGATCTGGGTTCAACATGTTATTCACTGTTTTTATTCATTCATCATTTATTAAATCAACATGGTATCTCCTTCCACAGGATTAAGGTACTAAATGTTTAACTGGAAAATAATACTGATTAGTTCCCAAGCTATATAGACCAAACAGGCAGGGAGCAGTAAATAAAGTGGGGACAACTCTGTAAGGAATTTTCTTTGAGGTCTGTGCTTTACCTGATTTGTGGAGATTATTAATCGAAAACACATAACTGGCAAACTAGTACTATGAGCCAAAATCCCTTATTAGAAAACTTTTGGGTCAGAAGTATTTTTAACAGGTAATACAGTACATATAGCCTATGTCCCCCTTTGAAGTTTGGTGAAGTAACCAAACATATTAATATTTCTGTAGCAAAACATGAATAGTCACACTAAGTAGGACAAAGACTATGAGACTAAGGCCAATTCAAATCAGATTTTACTGTCAAACTTGTGACAAACTTTGAATTTCTACCCCCTGGTTTTCAGAACTTTTTGGGGATTTGGATAAGGGACTATGGAACCTGTACTGCAAAATATATTTGAATCCAATAATATGTCAGTGTTATTATTATTATAGTAAAAATAACCCAGAAGGGTCTTATTATAAAATTTTTTTATGTTACTTCCCAATTTTGTGGCCTGACCTTAATATCTTTAAAATTTTCTTTAAAAAAGCATGGGTGTTTATCATGTTTCTTGAATCTCTCTCTCTCTCTCTTTTTTTCACAAAGATTTTATTTATTTTTTCATGAGATACACACACACACACACACACACACACACGGGCAGATAGAGAAGCAGGCTCCATGCAGGAAGCCCGATGTGGGACTTGATTCTCGGACTCCAGGATCACGCCCTGGGCCAAAGGCAGGTGGTTAACCACTGAGCCACCCAGGCATCTCTGTCCCTTGAATCTCTTAAAGTTGTTAGCACATAACTTTGTAAAGAGGCAATGCACAGTATTTCTGGATATTCTTAGTGTCCTGAGGGGCTGGAAGGCCATCAGTTTGACTTTGCCTCACGAAGCCCAACTCTTCAGATTCTATCTTCACTCCAGAGGGACAAACACACAGGCCTGGTAGGAGTTTTGCAAAAGTGTCTGGGTCTGAAGACAGTGGTGTCAGACCTGAACACAGAAGAACAGTCTACATCTCATCTCAGGTAGCAGCTTGAAGAAACAGAGAAAATAGATTTAGGAAGTCTCTTCCGTTCTCAGAAGACGAATGAAAACTAGTGGAGGGATGTTCTAGTATGGAGATAGAGGGACTTCCAAGATGGAAACTAGAAAAACTATCCTAGGAGTGAAAAACAAGGCTGGTGAGGAAAGAGGGATGGCCTCTGTTTTGACTTCTAGATAAACATGCAAGGAGCCCAACTCAGCCTCTGGATCAGAGGCTAGCAGAGGGCAATCAGTTCACTTGTGGCTGGAGCTAACTAGGACGATGACCACGTATCTCTGGTGACAACCACACAGTTTGCAGAGGACAGTCCCAATCTATACCTGGAGGCCCAGCATAATTATTAACAGTGCCCTTTCTGTTCTCAGAAGTGTCCCAGTGAAATGATAAACTATATAGTAACCTACAGGGCAAGACAATGAATAGGTTCTTCCAAGTCACAGGGAAAGAAATTTATTCAGAATAGCCTGGGGAACGTGATGGTAGAGTCTGCATTACCATCAAGGATGAAGAGTGTAAATGGTAGCTGGGAAGAAAGCCAAGCGGGAAGTTCTACCAGTGTATAAACAGGAAAAGAGTCAGGTGATGACGAGCTTGGGAAGTCAGAACCATGACCCCAACTGGCAGAGGACAGGAGAGTCTGTATGGTGCAGTGGTCCAGCCTACAGTTCTATACTGGAGAGGCCCTCTATCTCCAAGTCCTATCCAAATCTTCCCTACATTATTGCTATTTTTAAAAAAAGATGTTATTCATTTATTTGAGAGAGAGAGAGAGAATGAGGGAGTGTGCATAAGCATGGTGGGGAGGGGCAAGGGGAGAGAGAGAAGACACCCTGTGGAACAGGAGCCCAATGCTGGGCTCAATCCCAGGACCCTGAGATCATGACCTGAGCTGAAGTCAGATGCTTAACCAACTAAGCCACTCAGGTGCACCTACATTTTAATTTTTTGATGAGAAGTTCAGGTTAATTGTAAATCCTACCAAAAAGATTTCTCTCCAAATCCAAGTCTCTACCCACCCATTTCCCCCATTTTAGGTCTGGTTTCCTCAGAGGCACCTTGCTCAACTAACCTTTCTAAGATGTCTCCTGCCCCCACATGTACATATTAGCAGGCTTCCTTTGTGTTTTAAAATTACTCCACTCGCATATTATATACTTATTTACTATCTGTCTCCCTCATTAGAACATAATTTACCTAGGGAGGCCAGGAAATATAATCACTGCCACCTCAGTGCTTGTTAAGAGTACCTGGTTTACAGTTGATGCTATAATAAGTGTTTATTGAATGAGTGATTCAGTATGTTGTTTATTGTATGTGTAATATAAATTAATCCAGTCTTGTCACCTAGCTGAGATGCATTTACATGGAGAATATAAAAGGACAAAAAGAAGGGGATTCTCAGTGCACATTTAGGGTCTTACTTGCAGAGGCCACTCAATGGATTGAACTGAATGGAATTCACCCAAGCAAAGCAGGGGGTTGGGAGCTTATAAACAGCTAGGGCCAGGAGGGACCATGTTCTAAGAGCTTCGGGAAACAGGAGGGAGGGTAAAAAGGATCCAAAGACCAATGTCCCCTCCACTGATAATGTGTTCCAGGTAAATAGCCAAGACTTTTCTCTGTGAAAATGACCATTCAGGGGCCTCAAGAAGCCTC